TTTCACCACATGAGCTTCTCATGGAACAGTGGTGGCCCAGTGGAAATGGAATGTGAGCCATAGGGGCGCCTGGGTGGCTCAGTCATTAAGCGGCTGCCTTCGGCTCAGGTCATGATCCCAGGGTCCTGGGATAGAACCCCGCATCGGGCTCTCCTGGCTCAGTGGGAAGCCTGCTTCTCCCTCTCTCACTCCCCCTGCCTGTATTCCCTCTCTCGCTGTCTCTCTCTCTGTCAAATAAATAAACAAAATCTTTAAAAAAAAAAAAAAAAAGAATGTGAGCCATATATGTAATTTAAAATTTTCTAGTAGCCACATTAAAAAGTAAAAAGGAACAGATGAAATCAATTTTAATATATTTTGTTTAACTGAAATATATTCGGAATATTTATAATACACAACCAATATATAAACATATTTCTGTAACCAATATATACAACTATACATAGAATGGTTTAAAATTTTTTGTACTAACTCTTCAAAGTCTGATGTGTATTTTATACTTAAATCACACCTCATTTGCAATTAGCCACATTTTAGTACTCAATAGCCCTGTGACTAATGGCTACTGTTCTGTGTGTGTGTGTGTGTGTGTGTGTGTGTGTGTGTGTGTGTGTGTGTGAGGGAGGGTGGGGAGGAAAGTAAGCAAATAATAACAATTTTAAGTACTGATAAATATGATGAAGAAAATAACAAGGGGATGTGATGGAGGGTGTCAGGGAATTAAGCAGTCAGGAGAGACTTCCAGAGGGTAAGACATAACTTCAGGAGAGTGGGGTAAGTAGATGATGAGTGCAATTTTAGGTGGCATTTGATCTCGGCCAAGGATCCTGCTGGAGTAAAAGTGTTTAAGCTGAGATCAGAAGGAACTGCTCAAAGTTACAAGATTAGTGACAAAGTACCTTGCTAGAAGCTAGAAATTAAAAGCCTTAGCTAGAATTTGTTCATGTATTCCTGTGTGTCTTAAACTAGGCTTCATATTTTTCCCATCTGTAAAAGCAAGTTGATTTGCAGAATCAAAATGTTAACCATAGAAATGCTTTTCTAAGACCATTTACAAATAAAAACATACAATGCCCTTGGAACTAAAAGCATGATTTGCAGTATCTGTGCCCTAAGATTATTGGGACAAGATTCCTTTCCCATCTCACAGAAGTTGGTCATCCTTAGCAAAAGAAAACTTAGGAACTAAACAACGTAGATTTTCTTCTGACTGCTTCAAGTTTAGCAGTTTTTATGTCCATGTCATGTCCTCATGGAGGATGTTCTCATCAATACATTCCAGTCTCCTGTGTGTCAGAACATCATGTCCATCTCAGTTAGGAGGACACAGCATGTTACACAGGCAATGTAAGGGAATGAGGCTTCTGTGTTCTGGCCTATTAAAGATGATGAGGAAGTAGAAAAAGAGAACACAGCAGTTGTGATCTATTATTTTTTAAGCCTTATATCATGTGCCTACAGCTTATAAAATCTAAGCCTCACTATAACCGTGGGAAGTCAGTGTGTCTTATCCTCTTTGTGCAGATTGGGAAATGGACCCTCAGAGAGATTAAATAACATTACTAAGGTCCTAATGCTAGGTTTGAAACCTAGTTCCTGTTGATTTTGAAAGTAGTGGAAATCTTTCCTTTGTGCTAGGATGGCAGTTCAGCCCAAGTGAATTCTAAAGACTCTGAAAAGTAACCTGAAAAAACTCCCCAGAGCTCCAAATTAATTGCAAAATAGGAAAAGCCACCTTCTCTCTTCCTTCATGTTTGACATTCATCCAGAGGAGAGGAAGGCAGGCAACTAAAATAATCTTTGATTACTTTTTGTGCAATTCTCAAATAGATCCTCTGAATTGGCCAAAAATGTCATCACTAATGAGTTTATAGTGTGTCAGGCCCTATTTTGAGATTTCACTGCACAGAGTAACTCATTTGATCTTCACCATAACCCCATGAAGTCAGTGTTGTTATTTTCATCCCCGTTTTACAGATGAGGAGCACAGAGGTTAAGTGATCTGCCCAAAGCCACCCAGCTGGTAAGTGGCAGAGCCTGGACGCAAAGCCAGGTGGTCTGGCTCATAGCCACAATGCAGAGTGCCTCACTATGCTGCTAAAGATCAACCCAGTAAATGTCTCTAGTGGGATTAGGGTTAAACTAAACAGCCTGTTGCATGCAAATGTCATGTTTCTGTGGAGTCTTTGAAAACTCCCAACTGACTCAAAGTTCTCTCAAGGGTCTGAACCTGCTACTCTTCTGGGTGAGGACCTATCATGGAAACTCCTATACTCACTGTCATCTTATTAGTCTTAAGTACTATAATACCCCATGAAAAACAAAAATCTAGTCTATCTAGCCAAGCATTTTATCAGAGAAATCTGCCCCAAATCCTTCTCCATGTGCATTTTTTTAAAAGATTTTATTTATTTATTTGATAGAGAAAGAGAGAGAGAGAGAGAGAAGCAGACTCCCTGCTGAGCTGGGAGCCCCATGCAAGACTCCATCCCAGGATCCTGAGATCAGGACCTGAGCCGAAGGCAGACGCTTAATCAATTGAGCCACCCAGGCACCCTCTCCATGTGCATATTTTTATCTTGATCAACCTGAATTAATGATCTAATTGTGGGCTGAAGGAGGCATTACCATTCTAGGCAGGATGTGAGGACCCTCCCCATCCAACATCTTAACCCCCCATTTACTGCCAGGGTTGGTTCACTTCATCTGGAACCCAGCTGCCCAGGCTGATGGCTTCTTCTTTCCTAGCTGCTCTGTGTCCTCCAAAAAGCATTCTACCTGGTAAAAATCGAGCTGTCCCTGGATTTCATAGGAAACCTAGCTTGTGACAATGGGAGGCAAACACTTCAGTTGGTTCAACCTCTGGTCTATACCAAAGGTTCTATGAAGGACTGTGTCATTTACCATTGTACTCTCCCTCTGCCCTCTCAACTAGCATAGCAGCTGGCTAATAGAAGGCACACAATAAATATTTGTTAAATTAATGACCTCTCTAAATCTGTTATGTTTCTGCATCTCTACATTAGGTATAGTGGCTCTATTTACAATACAAAATGATTATGATAATAACAGCAAGAAATTTATTACTTTCCTTGAAAGGTAAAAGTCATGATAAGAATGACTTTTTGCTGAAAAGCCTTAATTTTGAACCTTAGGCAATCATTCATATTCATATTCCTAAGTATGTTCTTTGAATCATAATATAAAATACTACCAATCAAATGCAAAAGCGATGGAGAGTGAACTCAAGTGAAAAAAACTGTAGAAAGAACCAAAGGAAAACCGAGGTATGACTACAATCCCACAAACTTGTGGAAGCATCTTTATTGTTATGTTTTCATTTAACAAGCAGAAGGTTTATGGTGCTGATGGATTTCTTTTTTTTTAAGATTTTATTTATTTCTTTATTTGACAGAGAGAGAGAGAGACAGCAAGAGAGGGAACACAAGCAGGGGCAGTGGGAGAGGGAGAAACAGGCTTCCCGCGGAGGAGAAACAGGGCTGATCCCAGGGTCCTGGGATCAGGACCTGAGCCGAAGGCAGACACTTGACAACTGAGCCACCCAGGTGCCCCTGGATTTCAGTTTTAATGGGGACATAATGCAAGTGTTTATCCAAGAGAAATAGTCTGTTTCTAATCTTGGTCACTGCTTCCCGCCCCCCCCCCAAAAAAACCCACACAAGGAATACAATTCTGGTTACCAAAAAGCCTCAGATATGCAGGGCCAAATCACACAGTTCTTCTATAAACTGGGTCTGCAGAACACAATAAACATGATGTGGGCAGGAGAAAAAAGTTAACCGGGTACCCAGGATTACCGGTGACTGCACTTTCTTCCCAACCTTAACTTCTAACACTCCCCATCGCACTTCACACTCTAGCTGCAAGAACCAAACCACTGCTGACCCTAGTGCAGAGACGAAAGAAAGAAGGAAAGCCAGCCAGCCACATGGTTTTATCCACCAAATATGAAAGCTGAATCTATGTGGAGATGTATGTGAGTGGAATAGAATGGGGGCACACAAGCCTTAGGCCAGAAACTAACATCTGATCCAGGACCATTTAAAGACCTGTGAAGAGGTACGTGCTTTTGCTGAAGGCTTTTTAAAAGTTTTTTCTCTCCTTTAAACCAGGGGTACCAGATCACAAAATCCTCAGCCTTGTGATTGATATGAATATACACCCCAGGCAGCTCTCAACAGCAAGAGCTAATTTCTGGTATCTTCCACTGTCAGGAAAGACAAAGACTATCTCACAAGGTGGGGGCCAGAACAGAGACAAAAAGAAGAGAGCAACACGAATTTTGTATAAGGCAAAATCAGCACAAGCAGCCAGCCAACAGGTTGCCCTTGTTGCAGAATCCATATAATCCAGGATAAATCAGCTCTGAATCTGTTTTCTCAAAACCCCCACCCCTGCCAGGTAACACCTCAGGACTTAAGTCTCTGTCAACTTCTCTGTCCACACGAAAAAAAAAAGAATGTGGGAGAAAGAGAATTAAATAATAGAAGATACTTATCTACTCCAGTTTACTAATAATGTGGGTGGTGACGCTTCAAGAGCCGAGTTTGGGAGTGAAGAAGGGGAAGGGAGAAAAAGAAACCACAACCTCTCTGAGCTCAGCTGAGGTCTCGGCAGAACAAGTGTCAACGCTTTTAAAGGGCACGGCTTGCTCTCAGTTGCAAAGCACACCGGCTGGCAGGGTAGGCGCGGGGCACTGCTTACCCGGAAGCCCGCAGGAGGCCGGGGGGGGAGGGGGGGCACCTCAAAAACAGAGACATCACCAGCACCGCGCCAGGCGCGCCGCCCCTCCCTCCCGTTCCCACTAGAGGAAAGCGCATCCAGTGTCAAAGTCGCGGTGGAACACGACCTGGTCAGACAGGTCGGAGCGCGAAGAGGGGGCACCCGTCGAGGGCTCTCCTTGCCCAGCAAACACCAGCCAGGGGGGAAGCCTGGAAAGTGGAAACAAAACCAGCAAAAATGAAAGAAAGACACGTTACCTTGTTCATCCCATTCCCCATGGTGGCTGAATGCGAACTCTAGCACCCTTGGAAATGAGGTCGCAGTCTCACTAATGGCATGTTACAACAGGAGGGAGGAGCAGGTGGAGCGGGCGGGGGAGGAGGCCCTGGGGAGGAATTTCGTGCTCGCAGTATAAACAACAACAATAATAATCAGGGACATCCAGGCCACTCGGTTTGCTCCAGGGAACTGGCCTGGACGGTAGGGCTTTCCGCTAGTCCGCCCCGGACTTCCCGGCCGAGCAGCAGAGGAACTGGCGCCCTTGCCGGGAAATGGTCTCGCTTTGCCAGTGCACGCCCCGTGAGCGCCCAAGAACCCCTCCCCGGCCGCTCCCGGGGACTTGTGGAGCTCCGAGCGCGGCGACCGCTCGCCCCGCCCTGCGCAGCCCACAGCTTCCCGGCGGCCGGAGCCGGGGCTCAAAGCGCACGCGCAGCGCAGCGGCGGGAGCCCCAGCGGCGAGCGTTCCGGGAGAGAGACTTACGGGCGGGGGCGGGGGCGGGGCCTGGTGGTCGCGCAGGCGCTTCCCCAACCCGGCCGCCGCGCGTCACTCGGCCACCTCCCCCGGGATCAGGGTCACCGAAACTCCCGCAGACCTTTCCCCTGGGACAGCTCGGGGGACCTGTTACCAGTAGTCACCACCCTGCCTTGACTGCCTCGGTGAATCAGGTGCTAATCAGAGCTTTGGTCTTCGCGGCTCCCCTCCTTGGGTTTTCTGAGGGCGACAGATTTAGGCCCCGGTTGGGGGATTCCTATGGCCCTGCCCCACCCACGAAGACCGAGAAGGCTCACCCGGTGGGGAAAGGGGGAAAGGTGGGCTCAGTGACTCATCTCTGGGATGACCTAACCTCCCTAACGTGGGGGAGCAGATGGCCGGATCTCAGACCTCATACCGTGTCATTGGATTTCTAGTATGTGCCCATCTTCAGATTATAAACTGGCTGTATTAGGTGCATGGTTGTATTGACACAGTTGCTTCTGGAAAGCCCCTGTCCTTGCTAAACAGCATAGTAATGTCTGCATTATGATTGTGTCTGGAGTAGAATGCTTTCTAGCAGAATTGTTTTGAGAATTCTGTCACCCCTACTAAGCTCTTAACTTTTTCCCTGGGGACAGAATCCTTGAGGTAGGGGTTTCTCAGTGTTATTTTTATATTTTTAGCAATGCTCTGCACAAAAGTGCTTCATAATTGTTAAATGAACATACACATCAATCAAATATGGCCGGGCTCACCCCTGATGACCTCATTTCATCTGCTCTTCTTGCTCAACAAGTTACAGCCACACTGGCTTACTGTGTGCCTCTTGAACCTGCCAGGCTGGATCCTGCACTCTGTATGGGCTGTGCTCTCCACCCAGACCTAGCCCTTTGCAAAGCTGGCTCTTGTCTTTGAGGTCCCAGCCCAAATGTCACCTCCTCCACGAGGCTTTTTCTGACCACCCAATCTAAAGTTGATTCTTCAGTCACTGTTGTATTACCCTGTATTATTTCCTTCATAGCATTTAACATAATTGGACATTATCATATTTGTTTGCTTATGTTTTATCTGTCTTACTAGAAAGCAGCCTCCTGATGTAAAGGACCTTATCTGTCTCATTCATTACTATAGCCTGGGACAGTCTGGGACAGTACCTGGCATAAAATAGGGGTTCAGTATATATTTGTTGAATAAATTAATGAATTCTAGAGGACTGAGACCATCAGTTTGATTCTGAAGGTTGCTGACATTTTGTAAAGAACTTCCAGATTCCATCTGAGCCATTTCTCTCCTTGTACACCATGTATCTTCTGGGCAATAGCAGGGACCAGAACCCCACATGTAGGAAGCCCCCGCTCAGTGTACACCCAAATTGTCTTCCATAGGTTGGATAGAATACAGACCTGACCCCTTGCTTCTGGAGTGTTCCTTCTCTACCACCTTCACTTCCTCTTCTCTCCCTCACCTTCCAGACACCTGGACAGCACATCTATCCCTCTGCTCCTCACCATCACTATTTTTACTCACTTCCTGCTTATAGATAACACAACATGGTTAGTAGACTGCCTGGGGAATCCCAAGACCAACCTTTGTTCCTAAATCTCATAGTGATCTTTGGCAAGATGATCAGCTTTTCTGAACCAGTTTTTTCCTCCTCATTTTAGAGAGCATTGGACTGCAAATTTTTTAAGATCCTATCCAGAAATCAATGAACTACTTTTTCCCTCCACTTCAGTTGTGCTGTTGTTGTTTCTAGTAATCAGATGAACTTTCAAGAACATAACCAGTTCATAAGTTGGTACTTTCCCATAAATGGAAGATCCATACACAATTTTTCTTCTGTAATCCATTTGGAACATTTCTGTTCTCTTATTCATTTCTTATAACCTCTCCTAAGCTCACAATCTGTGATGGTTATCTCCTAACAGTCAAAATGGATACTCTGGCCTTCGTTCAGTATGATCCTACAAGATCCACATGCCCAGAACTCATTTCAAATTCTCAAATTTTTATTTTTGGTTAAATGAGAAAAGAGAAGACCATTAACATCAGAAGTCAGAAGAGTCATTTTAAAAATATGTTCTGTGGGAGGTTTCTCCATAAGAGACTGTCTCCCTGCACTCCCCCCATCATATCCTAGAGCTTAATCCTGCCTCTCTATCATCACACAATAATTAACAGTTTGTCATATCTTGCAAGTCTATGACTAAAGAAAAGGAAAAGGGAAAGTCTGATCCAATTTGGGCAACATGTCCTGGTTTCCTTTCTTTTCATTTTCATAGCGACACCTCAGAGATTTTCAGGTTCAGTTCTCATACCAAACAGGTGAACTGCCCATTTCCAAGTGCCTTTCTGTCTTCCTTCTTTTATTCTTGATAGCTCCTGATTATAGAAAGAAGGGAAGGAAAGAGACTCCTAGATGAAGCTGGCAAGTTTCACATCTAAAGTAGAAATTATTTATTTGCATTCTCTCTCACTCATAAAGTTTTTAAGTCATCCTAAGCCTAGTGGAATTTCATCCCATGTAAGATTTTTACTTTCACTTTCTTTCCTGCCGTTTTTGTCTCTCTCAACACAACCAACACCATAAATTTTGGTAATGACTCCAAATAAGTAAAACCTTCACATATGCCTAGTGAGGAGGAGTCTGTTAACAAGCTGAGTCCATACACGTGATGAAGGATAACCAGTTAATGGTGTATTTAGTGAGCAATAACTGAACTTTAAGGTAGTAGTGTGCAAAAACCCACAAGCAGAAGCTCAACCATTAAAGGCAGCCAGATCATTAGGGGTATTGCTGATAATTTCAGAGAATTGAGATAAACCTCTGCCCAAGTGAAAAGGAGTTATGTAATCTTCCTTGGCTTTTTGAACAAACTGTAACCCAGAGTTTCTCAACCTCAGCATTGCTGATATTGGGGCTAAACTTTTTTTTTTTTTTTTTGCTTGTGGGGCTGTCCTGTGCATTGTAGCATATTTACAAGCATATCTCTGGTCTCTATTACTATATGTCAGCATCCCCACAGTGTCATGACAATCAGAAATATCTCCAGTCCTTGGAGAGCAAAATACATTTCCTGCCATTATCATCCGAATGTTAGGGCCGGGCACCTGGGTGGCTCAGTCAGTTGGGCATCTGCCTTCAGCCCCCGCTCAGCCGGGAGTCTGCTTCTCTCTCTCCCTCTGCCCCTCCCCCCTGCTCGCGCTCTCCCCCTGCCTGCCACTCTCTCTGCTTGTGCTCTCTCCCGCTCTCTCTATGACAAATGAATAAATAAAATCATTAAAAAAAAAAATGAATGTTAGGGCCACATGGATGACATCTTTTAGAGATGAAATCTCTAAAATCTGTCACTCTTTCCCTCTCTCTTTCTCTTGCTTTATAACAAGTTAAATTTATACCAATAGTTAATGTTAGGCCTCCACAGAATTCTTAGGCCATGCTGTCAAATAAGAACAAACTAAGAACAAGAAGTTAAAATGAAGAGCTAATATAACTAAGGCATGACTAAAAGTAAAAGAAAGCTATTGAATTGTGGAAAGAAGAAAGATGGAGTCTAGAACTACCTAAGTAAAAGTACAAAACATTTTCTTTGTTTCTCCAGAACTGTCTGGAAAGAGGTTACCCAGTTGACTGTTTGAGGTCATGCAGAGAAGCCTGACCATAACGGTAGCCTCTTCAATACCTCAGCCTTTCAAGGGCTACCAGTTTCCAGCCCTCCAACTAGTCTTTTCTGATTATGAGCTTGGTGTCCCCCTTCCCCTTAAGAGGTTTGGAGAGCTCAGATCTCAGAGCACAGGCATCTGGTGAGATCAGAGAAGAACAGTAAGAGGAATGGGTATGTAGGTAGGTAAGCAGGGCAGGGAGAGGGGGTCAGAGAATCTAGGAGGAGGTAAATGGAGAGATGTGAGCAGACATAGTTGGGAGTCAATAAAATCTGCTATGTGTAGGGTTTCTGGGAGGGTTGGCAGAGGTGAGGCCAGTGTTGGAGGAATGGGGTTATCAAGCAGTTTATAGAGCGGACTACCAGGGAAAGGGGGGAATAAGAGCCCTGGTTCCTAAAAATCAGGTAGAAAGTGACTATTGTTCAGCCTACAGCCTACAGGTTATAACATGGATGCATGTATATTGTGAGTATACCTAGCTTCGAAAATTGTAGGCTTCATGAGGGCAGGGACCAGTTGTCATCACTCTTTATATCCAGCACCTACAATAGTCCCTAGCATATGGGGAAACTTTCTGATGTTTGTTGGTTAAAGAGAGAAAACACAACTGGGAGGTTGTTGCATTTGTCTAGATGTGAGGTTCACTAATAATTCATTCTTTTTTATGCTAGATACTCTATCATCACCTCATCTACCTGTTTTTCCTTTTGTAGAGCAATTTCTAGGTGGGATGGCTCTTTGATCTAGGGATGACCAAAGTCCTATTGTCCTTTGTTTTTGAAAGTGATGCAGTGCACATTGGTGTGATGGGGGGGGGGAGTCCTTGTACACAATGCTTTCATGCTTTGCTGTACTCTTGTACTCTGCCACTTGAGTTGCAGCCCTAGCTGTAGTTGGCAGAGCCCAGTACTGTCTGCAGTTGTGCCCTTGATATCATGTTGTTCTTTGAGCTTTGGTTAAGAAACCATTCCTGGTTTATGAACATCCATTTTGCTGGTTGGCTATGGTTATTTTCCTTGTCTGGAACAGTTTGCCTTGACCTATATACTTCCCTATCTCTGTCCAGAAAGGTCTACCTGAGACAACAAACAGGTTCTTTAAAACTTTCTGTGGTTTAAAAAAACAAACAACAACAACAAAAAAAAAACCCCACAACTTGACAGGGTTGATGATCCCAGCCCAAAGCTACTAAAATTTGAACCACTAATGTCTTTTTGGATTCAGTAGAATAAT